TGGGGGCTGAGCTCAGGTCACCAGGCTTGCACAGCGAGCCATTTACCCACTGGGGCATCTTGCTGACGTAAGACTGTCTTCATACTAATATGGCTTGGTGTGGAGCCCCAGTCCTTGGCTAAATAAACAGCTTTGTGCTCGGCTGATGGGACGTGCCCACTGGGCTTGCTTTTTCCATAGCCAACCGCTCTGCAACAAAACCATTTCACCCCTGAGGTCAGCCCGTGCCACCAAGCTGCCACCCCTGAGAAAAGACCCCCTTCCCTTCCCAGATCAGGCCTTCTCGGCATTCCTTCCCTTCTTCTCAGCATCAGCTCCTCCTGTAGCTGGGGCTCCCTGGGGCTGCAGAGCTGGGGCAGGCAGCCAGCTCAGAAAGGAGGGGAAAGTTCAGGAGAGGCCCAGCACACCGCCACAAACGGGCACATGCCAGAGAAACTGCAGTGTGGAAACCGTGCCCATCATATAAATCAAACAGTTAGACTCGCCCGGGGATGACAGGCTTCCGAGCAACTGAATTATGCAAATAGGCTCTGTGTGCTCTAGGGAGGATTTCAACACAGCCCCTCGGTCCACAGATGGGGAGCCAGATAGGTTGGTATAGACAGGTAGAAAGGACAACAGGAAGGGAGGTGACTCACAGTACAGCAGCATAGATGGCAGGCAGGCTCCTTTTCATGTTTTCCACAGCAAAGAAAACATGGGATACCCATTTGGCTAACTACTTGGCGCACACCAAACAATGCCCTGTTTTGTGAGTGTGTTCAGTTTGTGCATGTATGCATTTGTCTAAACTGGCGTCTATCGCTCTCCACCTTAGTGTTTGAGAGAGGGTCTCTCACTGAACCCAGAGGTCACCCGTTTGGCTAGGCTGATGTGCCAGAGAGCCCCAGGGAGCCTCTTGTCTCCGCTTCTCCAGTGCTGGGATTACAGAGTGTGCCATTGCTCCTGGCTTTTTATGTGAGTGCTGGGGATCCGAACTCAGGTCTCAGGCCTGCACAGCAAGTGTTTTACTGACTGAACCATCTCTGCAGGCCCCTGCCCTTTTCTTTTCTTCTCTTTTTTTGGACAGGTTCTATGTAGTCCTGCCTGGCCTGAAACTCACAGAGATCCACCTTCCTCTGCCTACCACAAAGGATTAAAATGCATGGGCCACCACATAGTGTTCCCTGCTGTTTTCTTTTATTATTATTTTTTTTTTTACCTCTATCAGGTCATTAAATTTTAACCACAAGCCGGGAAGTGGTGGTGCACTCCGTAGATCCCAGCACTTGGGAGGCAGAGACAGGCAGATCCCTGAGTTTGAGGCCAGTATGGTCTACAGAGCAAGTTCCAGGACAGCTATAGGCTACACAAAGAAACCCTGAGTCAAAAAAACAATAATAAGAGCCAGGTACAGTAGCACATGCCTGAAATCATCCCGGCACTCAGGAGAGGCAGAGGCAGATGGATCTCTGTGAGTTTGAGTTAGAGGCTAGCCTGGTCTACAAAGCAAGTCCAGGACAGCTAAGGTTACACAGAGAAACCCTGTCTCAAAAAACCAAAGAAAGAGAGAGAGAAACAGAACAAAAATCGAACTACAACTCTAAAAAATGAATCCACGACTGTCCCTATTCACTAATGAGGAAAATTAAGACTTAAATGTCAAAAGCTTAAGTAGCAGCCAGCCAACAGCAGAGCAGGAATCAAGTCCAGGCCCAGATCCAACGGGCACGTCCTTACCTTCCAACGCGCAGTGGTGCCTGTGACAGCAAAGGCCAGCTTAAGATTCCCACAGCTGCGACACGCGTCAGCTCAGGTCACTGCTGTAGCCAAAACGATAGGTGGCAGCCAGCAGGAAAACTTGATTACCACAAACTCAAACCAAGGCTAGTAGCTGTCAGTAGGGCCTAGCTGCCTACCAGAATTGCCTAATTCACGGGCAGCTCTAATCCCTCACCAGCTGTCCAGCACTCCTAGCCGTAAACAACCACTGGAAATCCTTAGAGAAAGGGTTGCCCACAAGAAGTGGCAGCTTAGCAGAATTCCAGACAGGGCATCCAGGAACATGGCAGGCATCCCTCACCAGGGACAGCACCAGGCTGAGGAGCCCTGGGTCTAACCTGGACAGGCCACAGAGCTGTTGCTGGGGGGGTGGGGGGGGTGGAATCTCTTATTACTGGTGACTAACTAAATAGTTCCAACTTAAGAGAGGCTGTTCATGGTGGTGCACGCCTTTAAAGCTAACACTCAGGAGCCAGAGGCAGGCAGATCTCCGACTTCAAGGCCAGCCTGGTCTACACAGTGCATTCCAAGCCTGGACAAGAGTGGAAGCCAGCCGGACTGCAAAAAGGGTTGGAGGGTAATTGAAGACGACACCGCCTGTGGGCCTGAGTTACATACACACGTGAAATGCACACACACATCAAAATTTAAAATGTACATATTTAAAAACCTGAATACGGCTGCTATATCCTGATGGAGATGGGACACGCGCACCTCCTGCTGTCGGTGGGCTTGGGGACCAAGAAAAGTAAAGAAGGACCATCTTAGCACAATTTCAGCTGTGTGACAGATTTGCTGGGGGTGGGAACTTTGTAAGGAGATTTACAGGCCTCATCGTAAATGAGGCTGGGGAGTTCAGGCTCATCCCCTCCAGGTGTGGGCCTTACACTCTGTCCTTGGATGAGGGAAGGCATTGGGTGGGAGCTGGGACAAGGGTTCAAGTGAGTAGGTGGAGGGGACAAAGCAGGGCCCAAGGCACTGACTTAGTGTGCCTGTGAGATCTCCGACCTCCAGACCAAGACACTCAAGCACCCCACTTCAAAGACTCCCCCTTGGAAACTCTGACATATTGGCTACCAGATTTCAACAGCCCTTTTCACTGGGGGGGGGGGGGGGGGGGGGGGGGGAGTAGGAGATTAACCACAGAAAGGAACCCTCCCTGTGAAAGGTTGTATCTTGACTTCATGGCTGTGCAGTCCCTATTTGCATTATATAATTCAGCCGTGGGTGACTTTAGCTCATCACCATGAGCCACTCCTGACAACCGGCTAGACACAGTAGCTCAGGTCAGGTTAGAACACAAATTTTGGTCTATGACCATACCGCTTTCAACAGTCTGATTTCAAGAGGTAAGCAGGGTCAGGCCAGGCTAGTATTTGGGTGGTAAAAAGAAATAAATTTTCAATCACCACTCAATCTACATCTCCCCCAAATTACAAAAGAACTCCCGCCTACCACAAATTGTAAAAATTCAAGCTGGACATGACGGTGGACAGTTCTAACTCAAGCACTGGGGCGATGAAGATAAGAGGATCATAAATTCAAAGGCACCCTTGGCTACAAAGCCAGCCTAAGCTACATGAGACCCTGTCTCGATTTTAAAATAATGATGATGATAATAATAAAATCAAAGCTGGGTGTGGTGGTGCTCCCCTGTAACTCCAGGAGGCAGAGGCAGGAAGAGCCCTGTGCATTTGAGGCGAGGCTGGTCTACACTGCCAGTTCCAGGCCAGCCAGAGCTATGTAGTAAGACCTTGTCTCAAAAAGAAAGTTACAAGTAAAGCAAACTCAAATTTAGGCTCTAAAGTGCATCACGTCATTAAGAACTGCTAATAAGATAAATGTGACTTCGGCAAAATAGACTTAGAGAAAGCCACCAAAGGACACACTTAGAAAGGAAGTACCCAGGACTGGGGATATGGCTCAGCTGACAGTGTTTGCCTAGCATGCAGGAAGTCCTAGTGATCCTTCATCTCCAATACCACTAAAGAAGGCTGGGTGGCACACACCTGTAATCCCAGCACTTAGGAGGTGGAAGCAGGAGGATCAGAAGTTCAAGACTGTCCTCAAGTACATAGTGAGTTTGGGGTCAGTACACATATATAAGACTCTGTCTCAAAAAATACAAGACAAAAATAATAAAGGGACCAACAAGATGGTTCAGCAGGAGAAGGCTCTCGGTGCCAAGCCAACATGAGCTTAGTCCTCATGAGACCTGCACAGGAGAGGGAGACTCAAACCCCACAAATTGTCCTCTGGCCTCCTCACAGGTGGCATGAAAGCCTGCATGTGCACGCACACGCACGCGTACCTACACACACCTGCCTCGCCACAAAAAAAGTAAAAATATTTTAATAACGAGGGAAATACACTTTGACAAGGCTAACAGCCTACCCCATCCATTCTGAAACAGCACGTGGCTGCCTGAGCTCTGACTGCCAGGAAGGGGCATGCATCTATCAGCTCAAGGAGATCAAACCTCTCCCCATACCACTGTTCCCACAAGTGTCCCCAAAACCTCAGGAGCTCTCCTGCACTCGCTGAGCGTGTCTGCCGCCTCCGCAACCAGGGATCTGCAACACAAGCAATGCGGAACACAGTGACCACTGGAAGGCCCGTCCAGCCGCAAGCCTGACACTCGAATCTGGAACCTGTATCTACAAGTGTTCTAATTTACAGGGGCAGGGGTCACAGGCCACAGGCCACTGCCAGATAAAACAACACTGGAGCCAGGGCTTAGGGGATGAGATTGTGTGCTGCCTGCAGAAGACCTGAGTTCGGTTTCCAGCACCCACGTGGGCAGCTCACAACCTCCTCTAACTCCAGCTTAGAATATCTGGCCTCCTCTTCTGGGCTCAGAGTGGTTCTCTCTCTCTCTCTCTCTCTCTCTCTCTCTCTCACACACACACACACACACACACACAGATACATGATTTTTAATGATTTTTAAAATATGCATATATTTGAGAACAGGACAGGTTCTCATTAGGTAGCCCTGGTTGGCCTGGAACTAACTGTGCATGCCTAGCTGGATCCACAGAGATCTGCTTCCTCTGCCTACGGAACCCTGGGATGTGCCACCACCCCCAGCAAAATAAACCTTAAAACAAAACAAAACACTGTAAGATGAAAATGGGGCTCACACAACAACTCTCCACGCTCTCAGATGTGCCCCCTGCCCTGCTTTCTTCCGAGCGCCTCTCCCTCCTTCTAACTCTTGTGCCTCAACCTACACTAAAATACCTTCCATGACTGCAACTTTACTTCATTAAGAACGGAGGAGCGGTCAGGCAATGGCTGCAAAACAGCAGCCCTCCTGGTAGCTAACGAAGCCTGTGCCATGTCCATGCCACCGTAAGGGACACCTGAGACAGTTTTCTGGTGGACATTCATGCCTCTGAGGTCATGATGGCCCCCAGCCTCAGCTTTGATAGGAATGTGGGGTGCCTCTCAGACGCCCCCCGGGCACCGTGGCCAGGGTCCTCAGCAACTAGGTCAGCCCATCAAACTACAGAGTAGGAGAAGTGTAACCGAGGTCCCCAGGGGTCAAGTTCAAGTTCCCCAGCCATGAGAGGATCCAGCATCTCCAAGAAGTGGGGTTTTGAGTTTACTGCAGACGGATCTGAAAACACAGAACCTGAGAAGCTGTTCGTCCCCGACAGCCCGGAGGCGCAAATGTATCATCAATTGTGGTCCCCTAGACAAGTGGCAGGCCCTTCTCAGGTCCCACCAAACATGTTCACCAATAAGCCTCACAGCCAGTCTCAAAAAAAAAAAAAAAAAAGGCTGAGTCCATCCAATCTACTGAATGTTGCCCCTTCGCCACACGGCATCCTGCGAGGGGCCTGTGTTCTTCCTCAGTCATGGGGTCGCTAAGAAGTCCCGCAGGGTTAAGAGAAGATCGCACTTCACCTCATCAGCCCCAGGAAAAGGTCCTGTGTGGCGTTTTCAGCCATCAGGGAGCAGGCTGGAGGGACCGAGCTTAGTTCTCCACACCCGCCCCAGGCAGCGGAAAACCAACCGCCTGTCTCCCGCCCCGGCAGTGCTGGTGCCCCCGGCCTCCAGAGGTTCCTGCACTCATATCTATGCAGATGAACAGACACAGATTTAAAAAGCACCATGTGTGGTGGCACACTTTAATGCCAGCACCGGGGAGGCAGGGGCAGGTGGATCCCTAAGAGTTCAAGACCAGCCTAGCCTACTTAGCAAGTTCCAGGGTGACCTGCCTGTCTCTGCCTCCTGACTGCCGAGCTTGAGGTCTAACTCCTCATGGAGTCTCGTGGGAGTCAAGGGTCATGGGAGAGCTACGGAGATGGAGATGAAAACCAACACCCACCCAGGCAGGTTCACACCTGTGTGTGCCCCGTGGCAGTCCGCGCAGAGCCCTGCTCTATGACAGCAGCTGACTCCCGCCTAGCTGAGAAAGAGGCCACAACACAGATCAGGGTTCACTCCCTGACAGATATCACCGTCTCTTGTACACTTCATTAGCACAAGGCAGGGCAAGGCACCTCGGCTCCCATCAACTGAAGGATGCTGGAGTGGGCAGCCCAGCACAGGCTCTTTAACTCAGGGCCAGACGCTGCCATTCCAGCAGGGGCCTGTGCGGTCAACAAACGTCCTTCAAGAAAATGGGTGTCTGTCCTCACTCTTTCCTCCACACCCCCACCGCTCTCAATGTTGCAGTGTCAGGATGGGGTAGGTGCTTCAGCCTCTCTTCCAACTCCGACTAACGTGGCCAGCTCACTCATTTCTTTTCAGAATGCACCTTCACAGACCCACAGGGCACAACGGTCTCCAAGGGCAGGCCTTCCTCGGAGCACATCCAGGGGTGGCTACTGGGAAGGTGGGGTGACTACCTTAATAAAGCAATCAGTTTCATAAAGGGCTGAGTTTTCAGTTGAGGTGGAGGCAAGAGGACCAGAAGTTCAAGGTCAGCCAGGCAGCCTGGTCTACACAATGAGTTTCAGGCTAGCCAGGGCTACACAGTGAGACTCTGTTTCAAGGGGGATAGGAATACGGGGAGCCACTCAGTGTCCCTGCCCTTGTGGGCATGTGAATATCCCCGCAAGGCACCATTAACAAGCTATGCTGAATTCTCTGTTCAGGGCTGCCAAGGGAACCCTAAAGGAAGCCAGTGCAGGTGGGAGAGGACAAGGTCACTGCAGAGAGCTAGCAGCCTGAATGGGACCGCACATGTCAGGCACCACCACGTAACAGCATGGGGAAGTGCACAGAGGCAGGGCCCCAACCACTTCCTCTGATCCCTGCCTCCCAGGCAGGAACTTCTAAGGGTAGGGCCAGTGAAACTCCCAAAAAATCCCCACCCCCTTAATATCAGTAGGCTCACTCAGTCCAGTGGAGAAGAGGCGGCCCAGTCTCTGTCCTTCCTTCAGCAAGTATTTGCATGCGTGCACAGGGTCAGGGAGACACTGAGGAAGGCAAATGCTGGAGGGACTTAAGAAAACAGAAGTAGGGCTGGAGAGATGGCTCAGAGGTTAAGAGCACTGGCCACTCTTCCAGAGGTCTTGCGTTCAATTCCCAGCAACCACATGGTGGCTCACAACCATCTATAATGAGACCTGGTGCCCTCTTCTGGCATACATGCAGGCAGAACACTGTATAAATATATATATATATATATATATATATATATATATATATATATATATATATAAAGAAATAACAGACTCACTTAGCTCAGACTACACGTGGAGAAGAGAGGGACAAAAAGATGACCCCTGTGCTCCTAAGTGCCACAAGCCACCAACACCAGTGTATTATAACAGTATTTTGTTTTTGAGACAGGGTCTTATGTAGTCCAAGCTAGACCTTTAAATGGGGTATGTCACTGAGGCTGATCTTGAACTTATTTTCTGTCTCTCCCTCCCAAGGGCTGGGATTATAGGCATGGACAACCGAGCCTGGCTTTTCTGTATTGGGTTTGTTTTGCTTCATTTTACTTTTTGAGACAAGGTCCTGCTAAGCAGCCCTGGAAGCCTCTTACCTCAGCACCAACTCCCAAACCCTCGGATTATGAGCGTTTTCCCCCACTCAAAGCTTCCTTTACATGCACTGACACTCCGCCCAGGCAAGGTCAGTGGCCACCCTGTTTCCCAACCTTCCAAGCGGCAGTTACCCAGGTGCTGGGCTCCTCAACGGGCAGCATGCCCACTGTTACTACCTTCTGAAAAACATTCCTGAAGGTCAGAACAACTCGCACAAAAAAAGGGCAAAGGTGGGCACTTCCCAGAACTGGACTGCCACGTTACCTAAACAGGGCAGAGCTGGCCTTAGCCCAGTCCGCCTCAATATTTGCATGGGGTTCAAGGTGAAGGGTACAAAAGGCAGCAAACATCTGAAATCAACAAGTAGAACTCACTCCTTGTGTTGGGTAAGAAACTAAAGAGAGAGAGAAAAAAAGAGCCTTGCACAGTCTAGGTTTGGTTTAGAGACAAGTTTTTGTGTGTCCCACACGGGACTCCAACTCAGTGGTGGTGGTAGCTGGTTTTGAACCCTGCTCTCCTTTATCCACCTCCTGTACCTAGATGGTACAGGCATACACACTATCGCAGTCCTGAGAAACTGCAGACAGTGGTGGCCTCTACAACCAACTAAGATACCAACTAAGGAGGCGACGGTATGGCATCCCCATTTTCGCCTCTTAGATTCTGCAACAATAGGCTGGTATTGCTTAAAACAAAACATGTACCATATTTCTTCCTGATGGTGTTGAGTACAAGCTACAGCACGTGTATGGAAATCGGGATAATTTTCACCCTCTGAGTTCAGGGATCGAACTCAGGTCCACAGGCTTGGCGGCAGGCTTATTCTCCTACCAACAAAAATCCTTGCAAGAAAAGCTTAAACTGGCATTTATTCAAGTGTGCAGTAATCCTTTTTTAAGCCTGCTAGGCGCGCCTCCAGCTTAACACTCTCCTCCCCTTTTCTTCTTTCCTGAACTGGGGACGCATCTTTTTGCATGTTCCCAGGCTGTCCCTGAACTCCCTGATTCAAGCGACCCTCCCTCCTCAGGGGACTGGACCTCTGCTCAGCACACTTTAGAACGATTCACCTCGGACTACCGCTTTATTCTAAACTAATTCTAGTGCGGGCTTCCACCAGGCAGCCGTGGAACTCTGGCCTACCCGTAAATATCTCCGCAGAGTGACTAAACATATTTTCTAACCCAAAAAAAAAGAAGAGGAAGAAGAAGAAGAAGAACAAGAAGGAGAAAAACACCTGCAAACGGTCAAAGTACAGGAGCGTCCCGTGGCTCTAGCCTCCTGGAGCCCAAGCCTGCAAGTTCAAGGCGCTGGGGAAGGGAAGGGCAACAGCAACCGCGGCTTCCCGCCCCGCCCCTTCCCCCACCCGGGGTCACGTGACGGCTGAGAAAAGTAGGGGAAAGGTTACGAGAGCCCCGCCCCCGTGCTGGCGCGTCCGGGGCGCTCGGATCCTGTTCCACCGGCCAAGCCCACGCAGGCCTTCCGGAGCGAGCCGGCGCGCGTCGCCGCTGCCATCCCTGTGCGCCGCCCCGGTAGCCGCCGACCCGCTTTGTCCCCGCGAGACACATGTCGCCTGCAGCAAACAGCAGGCCGGCAAACCCTGCCTCGGAGGGTTTCGTCTGCGAAACCCAGGCAAACGTAAATAAATAAATAAAAAGGTACAAACTGCGGCGCTTTTATGAATGGGCAAACTGGGCAGGCGGAATCAGGGTTGGGTAAGCTCCGGCCAGCGCCCCAAACTCCCGGGAGAACCAGGCCTGCCCGTTTCGTGACCACTGGGTCCCGGCCAAGAGCGGCGCCGGCGGCGGAAGGGAGGCGTTCCTCTCCCTCATCTGCAGTCAGGTGGCTTTCTAGCTCAAACTCGAAAGGTTTTGTCCTGTGCAGGAAGCCGCTTCGGCCACTTCCGATACAAAACCTGGCCGGGGTTTGATTCCAGAGGCGGTTAAGACGGGAGTTCAAACCCGGCACGGTGGCGCCCGCCTGTAATCACAGTACCTGGAGGGTGCACGAAGGAGATCAGGGGTTCAAGGCCAACCTTGGCTACCTAGCAGGCTGGAGGCCAGCCTGTGTTACGAGAAACCCTATCTCTCTCTCTCTTTTAATAGATAAAAGAGAAAAATTCAAGTATGTGGTTAAGTCTAGGGAGGCGTCAGAGTTAAGAAAACGGTCATTTACATGACAAAAGGGCTCTGAGGCTGCAGCGGAGCCAGCTGGCCCAGACTGTCTAGTGTGTCTAGTGCCAGAGCAAGCCCTGTCCCCACTCCACACCTCGGGTTTATGTACTCACTGAGCCCTGAGTCGACCGACTGGGAAGGGGGGGTGGTGGTGGTGGTGATGAATGCTTGCCGGCACAAATAAATGGCCAAAGCTGTATTTTAGTCATTTGGCTTGTGGTTTTCACAGAGATAAACACGCTTGAATATCAGGAATGACCAGAAACCAGACGCCTGTGCGAGAAAATGCTGTAACTAAATACGCGTTCCGAAAGGCTCCTAAACCCACTTTCATTTTATTTACGAACTTCCAAAGTTAGCAGTTTTCGACTAAAATGTGTCCCTGGAGAAACTATTCGAATGCACGGAACAGAAAGGAGCCGAGTCGGCCGGGAGCCGAGTACCGAGTTTGATCGCTATCTAGCCTGGTCCATCCTAGGGACTTTTTAACTCCTTAAAAACGTGAGCACTCGTGTGTGTTCCGTGGCATTAACGAGAGCCAGGCCCGGCTTCACGATATGAAGATGAACAGCGAAGGGGACCGGCTGTTAGGACACAGCCAAGCTGATCTCGGGGCTGCCCAGTACGCACCGTCGGGCTGTCCCTCGCCAAGTTCCCTCAGGCCAAGTCACGTGACGCCCCCACCCTCCCGGGCTCTTGGTCCTGGCGCGACCTTGGGCCGTCTCTGGACACCCACCTGCCCTTGAACCCCGCTCAAAGCAGGCGAGAGGCGCTCGACACTTGAGCCCCTGCGCCAAGGGCGTGTCCCGACGGCTGCACTGCGGGGACCCGTGCGAGGAGGGGGCACCGGCCACCTGCCAAGTCCCGAGGCCGAGCATCCTTCCTACTGCCGCGCGCGACCGGCACGGACCCCCGGAACCCATCCACCTGCAGAGTGGCGAGTGGGCTGGGGCTGGAAAAAGGCTCGGCGCCCACACTGGCCCCACGCCACCCGCCGAGTGGGGAGTAGGATGGGGCGGGAAAGGGAGTTGACGTCCCTACTGGACAGAGACCCACGGAGTCATGCCTAATCCTCAAGGTGCACTGACGACCCCAAACCCACGCGCAGAGACAACCCACCGTGTGGCGGGACACCAAGAGCCGAGGCCCCACGCGTCCCGGGCGGAGGCATCCTGCCCAGTCCGGGGACCAAGCATCCTTCCTCCCGCCCCGGGACCCCCCAAGACCCGTCAGTGCGAGAGGAAGGGGGTGCTCTCTGCCTCTCCAGTGCGCGGCTCCCGCCTACCCCGCGGCACAGCCTGAGTTCCCCTCCGCGCTCCCAGGGGTGACACCCGCGCGCCCGGCCCAAGGCGGTGCCGCAGCGCTGCCCGGGCGCTGCCTTACCGAGTCTGCGGACGGCGGCGGCGGAATGAGCGAGCCGAGTCCAGGCCGGGGCGGGCGAGGACAAGCGCACCGACGCGCGCCGCGGGTGATTGGCTGAGCCGGGGCCCGCTGCGGCGCGGGCGGGACGGGGCGGGGCCTGGGCGGGGCGGGGCCACGGGGAGCAATCCAGTAAGGAAACTGAGGCTAGGACCGGAGCTTGCCAACAGCCGCCCTAGGACCGCATTCCTTACCTCGGGAGCCTCAGTTTCTTCACCAACTCCTTCGGGCCATGCCCGTAAAAGCTCTTTGCACCGTGCTCGGATTACACTCGCAGTTTATACACACCGGCACATAAACTTCCCTGCACCCCTGCGGGGCTTATGCTGTCACTGCTCCAGAACTTTGGTTTGGTTATTTAAAAAAAAAAAAAAAAGGAGCTTGGCGGGAAAAGGAGCGGCTTTGCTTAGCATCACGGAGTAAAGAAGTAAGCCCAAGTCCCAAGCCTGAGGGACAGATGTTTGCCATTCCTGGGGCAGATTGGCTCCAGAGGCCAACAGGCTCCCTGCGATAAAATCACCAGGGCTTTAAAAAAAAAAAATAGAAAATGTCCTTTGCGGAGCGATTCGGGTCTGGGGTGTAGCTCATGATGCTGCTGCAATGCCTGTCCTGTGTAAGGTCCTGGATTCAAATCTCGACGCCAAAAAAGCAATAGAATCGAATCACTCTTCGGACGCTGAGAACTACTAGGTGCCGGGAGGGGAGTGGCTGGACCCCGGTGCAGAGGGGCCTCTGGAGAGGGACCACCGAGCGGCACACGGGGGACGGAGGTCGCAGGGCGAGCGCAGAGAAGCCGGGTCAGCGGGGCAGGGCGCTCTGACGCCGGGAGGGGCGCCCTCGCAGGCTGCGGCTCCAGGCCCTGCGCGGAACACCCGCTCCGTGAACGCGCTGGAGAAGGAGAGCGGCCGCAGCGAGGTCAAGCATGCCTGGTCTCGGAAGGCTCCGTCTGCCTCCATCTTCCCCTGCGCGGCCGGGGAAGGGCTCCGCAGAGAAAACGAAAGCGCCCCTTGAGCCCGCCCCCAACTCGGGTGAACTGTGGCGGTGTCTCACCGCCCCCTCCCACCCCCGGCTGTTTCAAAAGGCCAGGCAGGCGAGTGTTCGGTGTAACTTGGAGTTTTTGTTTGTTTGTTTTTGTTTTAACTTAATTTATGCGAAGAAACTCAACTCGGCGTCTCTCACTTGGCTGCACGGTTCTGTACGACTGAAATGAACCGGCCTCCGGACAGTTGGGGACACGCAACCACAAGCCACCGGCCCTCTTAAGCAGCCTTCTCTGAGTACCTGTTTCTGGGAGCAGAAGCGGGAGGTGTGGCCTGTTGGTGGCACCTGCAAAGGGGCTGTCTGGAGACGCTTTCTGCCTTCCACAGCGCCGGATCTGAAGTGGGAAAGAGGAAGAACCTCTCCTTATTTTTTGGTTGGCTGGTTTTGTTTGTTTGTTTTGAGGCTTGCCTGGCGAAAGGAGCTCTTCTCCGCCCTGGAAGCAGGAGGCTAGACCCTGCGCTGCTGCTTGTTGCGTCCGCTCCTGTCATGCTCACCTTATATGCCCTTCCTCCCTTTTTGGAACCCCAGCGCTAACTGGTCCCCTCCCCAAGGACACTTCCTCTCTTCTTGATGTCCTGGCTTGCGTCCCTCTGGCTTGGCCCTGTGCCCTGTCTGTCCCGGAGGCCCTGCGGCCTTGACAGTGGGCCCTCCCTGCCCGCCCCGCCTCGGTGCCACCTGCAGGCTAGGCGGGGTAGGAGTAGAGGCGGGGACTTCGTCAGTGGGAGCGCCCAGGTGCCTCCTCCCATCGGGTACCTGTGCCCTGGGGAGGTACCATAATGGGCCAGAAACCGCCTGGAACTTGTTTTATGCTGTAGGGGACTCCTTTGCCTTCCTCTACCCTCCACCGTGTCTCTGCTCCCAGGGACCGCAGCTCCCAGAGTTGCTATTAATAAAACGTTTAAAGACACAGCTCCGACCGGTCCCTACCCCACTCACTGGTGGTGGTGGCGGCGGAGTTTCATGGCCCTAACCTAAAGTCCTTGAGCGCTGAAAATATCCCAGGAACGGGCCCCCAAAATAGAATAGCCGTTCTCAACTCTTCTGGTTATTCTTCACATTCTTTGAGTTTTAATGGCATAGAGTATGCCGGCTGCCCACGATCGACACAGTTGTCCTGTGGTGGCAATCTCAGTATTCGGGAGACTGAGGCCTGAGGGTTGTATATAAATTGGAGACCAGCCTGAGTTACAACATAAACCTCCACCTTTCTGTCTTTGGTTTTTGGGGACAGGGTTCCTCTGTGTAGCCACGGCTGTTCTGTATCTCACTCTGTAGACCAGGCTGGCCTCCAACTCACCGAGATCTGCCTGCCTCTGCCTCCCAAAAAAACCAAAACCAGGGTTGGAGAAAATGACTCAGCAGCTAAGAGTGAATATTGCTTTTGCCCAAGACCAGTTTGGCTCCCAGCTCCCATGTCACAAGACTCACAATCACTTATAACTCTAGCTCCTGAAGATCTGGCTTCCTCTTCTGGCCTTCCTGGGCACCTGCATTCATTGTGTACATATCCTCCCAAACACGCACTCACACACACACACACACACACACCCCAAACCACAGCTGGCTAGGTAGCTCAATGTTAGAGTGCTTTTTTAGCATGTATAACATCCTAGATCCCATCCCCTGCACCACAGAGCAGGTATGATGAGGCCCACTTGGCCACGCATCAAGTTTGAGGATAATGAAAAGAGTAAGATACACTGATTAATCATAGACCTGCTTGCACGCTAGGCAGGTGCTCTACCACTGAGCTACCAGCAGTAGGGCTGGAAGCCAAGTTCTTAACACATAGTAGGCCAAACCACATCCTGACCCTAATGATCCCACCTAATATAGCCGATAGGAAATTCTCAAAGCCCCCACTGTCTTGCAAAGAGCATGGCTGCTCCATGGTCGGTCTCCCTAGACTCCTTCCCTGTTGGCAGAACCCAACAGGTTTCTATCCAAAGTGCTTAAGATTTCTGGGAACTTGGCTGTGGGACATAGTTTTGAGAGAACTCTATCCCATAATAAAGGATGTTGTAATTCCACAACTCAGTACTTTCCCTGCCTCCTCCTCCAAGCCTCCAGTCCCCCTGAGCTTGAACTTTGAGCCCCTGTACACGTTTTGAGTCAATATCGGAGGTAGTATTTGTTCAGCCAGCGTCACCAGGTTCCATGAGGACAGTGGAGACGTCACAGGGATAACAAACCCAAGGCTCCCGATGGTCGTGGGGACAGGAACTCAGAATCCACAAGGCTTCCCCTGTGACCCGGCGCTCCCACCGGAGAGTGCAAATGTCCTGCTGGAGGTGCCCTGCTTGCTCCCCTGCAGGTCAATGACTCTCTGCCCTCCCTCCCCCAGCACCCAGCAGAAGGGATGTTTGGTGGTGGATGCTGTCCCAGAGGGGAAACAAGCCAAGCCACCGGAGCCCAGGGCTAGCAATGTCAGTGCGGGCCCCTCCTTGTCCCTTATTAGACTCAGTTTCATCACTTTAGGAAAAGAGGACAGGGCCAGTGAGATGGCTCAGCAGGAAAAGGTACACACACATGCACTCACTCATGGGCGCACACAAAAATAAGTAAACGCTCCAGGCACAGATCCTACCAGGTGGATGCTAGGAATATTTGAACTTGGATTCTCTGCAAGAGGCCCACCACCCCACCTTTTCTTGAGTTGGCCTCTGGTAGTCCAGGCTGACTGGTACTCATTATGTAACAAAGAGTGACCTTGAACTCATGACCCTTCCACCACCACCTCCTGGGGCTGGCTGGGATTGCAGGCGTGCACCATCGTGCCTAGTTTGTGTCGGGCTGGAGATGAAGCCAGGACACAGAGTGTGCTACCCGCTGAGCTACTCCCACAGATGTGCCACGGGCCAACTGGATGAGGCAATCCCCCAAATGAGACTTCCTCGGATAAGTCTGGGCCGTGTCCAGTTGAGGCTCAAGCTAAGTAGGTGACAGAACCTTCTGTGCCAAGATGCCTGTGGGGGTAAGAGGAAACAGGTGACAGGCAGGAAGCTCTGTCCTTAGGGTTTTTGTTTTTAAAATGTCTATTTATTCTTAAAGATTCTTTAAACCTTTTATCTGTTTGTGTGTTCACGTATGTGCAAGTGCTCTGAGGTCAGAAGAGGGCATCAGATGCCCTGGAGCTGGAGTTACAGGTGGTTGTGAGCTGCCCTATAGAGATGCTGGGAACTGAACTCTGGTCCTCTGCTGACATTCACAGCAGCGGGAGCTGCTCTTGCTGAATACCCAGCTCCTGGGCTCTATTCTAGCACCTTGAGGTGGCTCACGGTTCTCTGTAATGTCCTGGGGTCCCTACACCCTCTTCTGGCCTCTGAGGCCACTAGGCACACAAGTAGTACACAGACATACATGCGGGCAAAACAGACATACACATCATAATTTTTTTTAAAAGCAACTATTATTATTATTAAATAAAAAGGAACTGGGCATGCTAGAGCACATCTTTAATCCCTGAATTCAAGAGGCAGAGGCAGGCAGATCTTTGTGAAGACACGGTAAAGATAGAAATAAGATTTTAGGGAGCTGAAGAATGAGGGGCAGGCAAAGCAAGAGAACTCTGGCAGGGTATGCCTGTAATCCCAGTCCTTGGGTGGCTAAAGTTGGAGGGTCATGGGTTCAAGGCCAGCCTGAGCTTTATTGACCAAACCTGTCTCAATGAAGCATCTTCTCCAAGGCTAAGCTTTACTGCCCTATTTGGTATTAACAGAATGGTTAAGAATATTTATGTCTTTATTTATTGAGACAGGATCTCTCTGTGTAGCCCTGGATGCTGCCGTAGGAGCTGCGGAGCTGCTTTTTATAAGTCTGCTGTATCCTGTTTTACTTGCAAAAGCTATTCTCCTCAGACTTGGAAATGCATTTGAATGTTTTCAAAAATGACCTAGTGCGGCCCGAGCCCATGGGAGCAAGGAATCCCAGGCTGAGCACACTTGTCCTTTGTCCCCACCCTGGGGCACCGGGGATGAACGTGAGCTTAAGCACA